AAAAGGGAAGGGAATTTGTTTGCTTTTCTTGATATTCGTCTCTTTGTTGTCTTTGTCTGTTGTTGTGAAAAGGCTTTTTTGAAATGCACACGTTTACCCAGGGGTTGAAAAATTATTGGATTCTTGGATGCACACTAATTCACTCTTTAACGATTCTGCAATGTTTCACTGAACTCAATATTTGGAATACAAACAGTGCTTTAATCAGTGTTTTCCAGCCTTGTAAATAACTTTTTTTATGCTTCTCTAATTGTTCAATTATTATCCGAATAGATTAAAGCTGCCAGTCTATGAAGTTATTCTTTGTGATTGAAAAATGAAACTGATCATCATTTAGTCTAGTTATTTATGACCAGAGCTTCTTATCTCAGCTCCTCTTGTTGTTTCATAATATTTATCAGTACGTCGAGCCACCTGGGGTCTTGATAGGGATTGTTGTCCACCTCAGGATATTACATGAATCTGTGAAAAGCTTCCCCCTCAGCCACAGTGATCAAGCCTCTTTATTTGTGTGAAAACACATGTCTTGTGATTATTATCTGTTTGCTATTGTAGCAAACAACAGATGCAGCTGGGAACTAAAAGTGTTTTTTATATGTATTGTAGAGTCAGGCCTCTTGCTGTGGACCTTTATTATGCTTTGCAAGACATTTCTTCCTCGCCTTGCCATGCTTTAATATTTTTGTTGTCAAACAATCATTCTGTGAAAAGGGGCCATTTGATGCATTTTAAGCCTTTGAGAGCTAAGGTAGGCTCAGTATTTGATTAAATATTACTATTGGCACTATTCAGTCTTCATTTATCTTTGTAAATGGCCTGTATTTGTATAGTGCCTTGTTAGTGTTCTACAACCCCCCAAGGCGCTTCACAACAAGTCATTCACTTATTCAGACTCAAATTCTCACACTGGTGGGGATGAACTATGATGTAGTCACAGCTGCCCTGGGGCACACTGAGCACAGACGCCACCGGTCCCTCCGACCGCCACCAGCAGCAGGCAAGGAGGGTTAACCCTTGCCCAAGGACACAACAACAGCATTCTCTGGGGTATAGCTGGGATTGAACCTGCAACCTTCCGATTACTAGACAACCCCCTCTACCTCTTGAGCTACTGCTGTCCCAAAATAAATGTTATAAATAAGAGAATTTTTTTTGTCAGCTTGAATCTATACACGGAAATGAAACGAATGGTCTCGACACATGGGAGGCAACATACAGGTGCTGGCCAGTAAATTAGAATATCATCAAAAGGTTGAAAATATTTCAGTAATTCCATTCAAAACGTGAAACTTGTACATTATATTCATGCAATGCACACAGACCAATGTATTTCCAATGTTCATTACATTTAAATTTGATATTCATAAGTGACAACTAATGAAAACTCCAAATTTGGTATCTCAAAAAATTAGAATATTCTGAAAAGGCTGAATATAGAAGACACCTGCTGCCACTCTAATCAGCTGATTTACTCAAAACACCTGCAAAGGCCTTTAAAAGGTCCCTCAGTCTTGTTTTGAAGGCACCACAATCATGGGGAAGACTTCTGACTTAACAGCTGTCCAAAAGACAATCATTGACACCTTGCACAAGGAGGGCAAGACACAAAAGGTGATTGCTAAAGAAGCTGGCTGTTCGCAGAGCTCTGTGTCCAAGCACATTAACAGACAGGCGAAGGGACGGAAAAAATGTGGTAGAAAAAAGTGTACAAGCTCTAGGGATAACCGCACCCTGCAGAGAATTGTGACGACAAACCCATTCAAAAATGTGGGGGAGATCCACAAAGAGTGGACTGCAGCTGGAGTCAGCGCTTCAAGAACCACCACGAGGAGACTCATGAAAGACATGGGATTCAGGTGTCGCATTCCGTGTGTCAAGCCACTCTTGAACAAGAAACAGCGCAAGAAGCGTCTCGCCTGGGCCAAGGACAAAAAGGACTGGACTGATGCTGAGTGGTCCAAAGTTATGTTTTCTGATGAAAGCAAGTTCTGCATTTCCTTTGGAAATCAAGGACCCAGAGTCTGGAGGAAGAGCGGAGAAGCACAGAATCCACGTTGCATGAGGTCCAGTGTAAAGTTTCCACCGTCAGTGATGGTGTGGGGTGCCATGTCATCTGCCGGTGTTGGCCCACTCTGTTTCCTGAGGTCCAGGGTCAAAGCAGCCGTCTACCAGGAAGTTTTAGAGCACTTCATGCTTCCTGCTGCTGACCAACTTTATGGGGATGCAGACTTCACCTTTCAACAGGACTTGGCACCTGCACACAGTGCCAAAACCACCAGCACCTGGTTCAAGGACCATGGTATCCCTGTCCTTGATTGGCCAGCAAACTCGCCTGACCTTAACCCCATAGAAAATCTATGGGGTATTGTGAAGCAGAGGATGCAATACGCTAGACCCAACAATGCAGAGGAGCTGAGGACGACTATCAGAGCAACCTGGGCTCTCATAACACCTGAGCAGTGCCACAGACTGATCGAGTCCATGCCACGCCGCATTACTGCAGTTATTGAGGCAAAAGGAGCCCCGACTAAGTATTGAGTGCTATACATGCACATTCTTTTCATGTTCATTCTTTTCAGTTGGCCAACATTAGAGAAACAAACATTTTTTCATTGGCCTTTAGAATATTCTAATTTTCTGAGATACCAGATTTGATGTTTTCATTGGTTGTCACCTATAAATATCAAAATTAAACGTAATAAACATCGGAAATACATTGGTCTGTGTGCATTGCATGAATATAATGTACAAGTTTCACGTTTTGAATGGAATTACTGAAATATTTTCAACCTTTTGATGATATTCTAATTTACTGGCCAGCACCTGTAACTTCCCCTCTTTCAGTGAGATATGCGCAACAAGGTGATAGTCGCGAGTCTCCTGGCTAAGCGACACTCAAAAAACGTGCATGTGTCGTGCACAGGTGAGCCAGCACCTCACAGAAGGCTGAAAAATTTCAACTTTTCATCGCTGTCACTAAGGCCTAGTCCACACGTAGCCGGGGTTTTTTAAAAACGAATATCCGCCCCTCCAAAACCTTGCAACCACACCACCACGTTTTAAAAACAAACTCTGTCCACACGTACCCGGATAAATACGTTGTTAAGGACATGCCAGTCCTGTAGGCGGCAGTACTTCCCCCGTTCTTTACCTCGTCCTTCGTCTGTGATCTTCCGCAAGGAGCAGTAATTCCGCTTGCAAAAACAAACAAGCAGAAAGCGCTTGGACAATTGATGGATCGGGTAGTGACAGAGCGCAGCTCTGAGGGCATCCATGATGCCGGCTAGTGTAAACACAGGTCGCACACGTGATGTCAGCATTTTTTGTCGCGGAAAGTGACGTTGCGGACCTTAAAACTCCGGTTTTGTCTGTCCATACGCAGACACCCAAAACGGAGAAAACGCAGATCTTCACTTTGGCCGGAGTTTTTAAAAAGATCCGTTTTCGTGTGAAAAAACTCCGTTTTCGTGTGGATGACAGGCCAAAACGTAGGAAAATATCTACGTTTTGGCAGATCCCCGGCTACGTGTGGACAGGGCCTAAGACAAGGACCAATCGGTAGAGGTTTTATTGACTGACCAATCAGCGGACAGGATGCTTCTCAGTACATCTCCGGGCAGATATGGAAGAAAAGTTGATAAGTAAAACTTTACCTAACTCTAGCAAAACCTTGTGAGACTTCATATCTACAGCTTTTTCGACTCTGATTATTAAGTCAGTGACTTGATGCAATTTGCTGGGTTCCTTATATAGGAAACGTTTTTTCTGATTGGCTTAATGAACTGACCTGAATTGGAATGTTTATTATGTGAAGTGCCTTGAGACGACTCTTGTCGTGATTTGGCGCTATATAAATAAACTTGAATTGAATTTAATTGAATTATAACATTTTAAATTGACAGATGCATTTGAAAGGTATAAGTGAAAATGCATACATTTGATATTCACCATTTTAACCATCTTTTTTTTTCATGAATCTCATATTATCATTATCTTTTCAAATTTAGAGAATAGTAGATTTAATATATTCTGGATGTGACAAATTTGACATAATCGGCTCGACTCAAACTTTATTGATACAGCACTTTACAGAAAAAACCTGCCACCAAATCAATCCAGTTTATCAGGATAGAATTTAGTAACATTCTCTCTCACAGGTTAATTTAGGAAAATCTCACATTTCTGCCCATCCAGTCAGATATTAAGACATGAAACTTAGATATGTCTAGAACATAATGGGAAATAGTTTCCTTAACTTGCTTCCAGAAATTGGATTAGTGTAAAATCTGAAGGAATGAAAAATGGCAGTCTCCAGAGAAATATCTCTGAAATAATAAAAAAGGTCAATCTTGCGGATTCTATAAAGAATATATCAAAGCCCATGCTGGGCTGTCAAAGCAAGGATTTCTTTCTTCCAGTGAGCATTCATCACCATTTTAGCCACTTTTTAAAAGTTATTTTTGTAGTCTTGCTTTCAGGAAATCATCTTTCTTAACTTGTAGCATTCTTTATTTGAAATGCTGTAATGTTTAAATATTAATGTAGCTGTTTGCTTTGATATGATCATAATAATACGTGCATATTAATCACATTTATTGATGAAATAGCTATGAAAGTGTTCGCCTTAACAGGTAGCCGATGCTGATCTCTAAATTTTATTGTTTCTGCAATTGAAGTACAAAACATGTTTATGTTTGCTTTTGAAAACCATCAAATAAGTCATTTTTTTATATTTACTGAGCTTGAGGATAACTGACTATTTAATGCTCTCAATCTGTCTGCATTGATTTGTCTGTAATTGACTGCAAATAAAAGGTAATTAACACCTGAGCCATGAAAGTGTGCCAATATTAGTACTTCTGCTTCTGTCAGGAATGCTGTTTGCACATGTGTAAATTTGCAATGCATTAATATTTATTTTTATTTGTTCTGTCTGTTCATATTAAACTATACTGCTATCTGTATTTCACTGACTTTACTGTTACATTGAATGTTGGCAGCTGGCGTCAGGCATCTACAGCTTTGCCTGCTCCCTGTGGAGTCATCATACCGACTGCTTCCTGCAGCAAGTCTATGCCAGAGATGAGGCTGCAGCGCTCAACTCACTGGAGAGGACGCTGCTCTCTCTTAAAGGTAGCAACAAATGAACATGCTCAGGTATATTCCCATTATTGTGCTGCGCGACTGCATCGTCCTGCAAAGGGGTGTAAATAAATGATCTGTACAGAAGGGAAAGGAAACCATGGTTTTACCAACTAACTGTTGTATAAAGTCATTATTCAGACATCTACTGCCCGCCCAAGAAAAGTTTCTATTTGGATTCAACTAAGCAACTAGGTAAAAGCCTCTTAATGGATAATCACTGCATGGGTGACTATCTTTCAACTGGCAACAAGTTATTTAGCCCCAACTGGTGCAATGAGCTGCTTCTCATTTCTTTAACAACCATATGGAAAGCATGGGTTTTCCTGGCTCAAATTGAGGCAGAGGTGTTGCCATCCTGACCATGCGCCAGCATATGCATACTCCGCATTCAATTGCCTCAATTTTTTAAAGGCAAAATATTTTTTCGTTAAGTGCTCTAATCTAAGCTTCTGTTGATTAATAGAATATTCCATTTGACAACGTTTCAAGTGAAACTAAACTGGTTTGCTGCTAAAAAATATGAAATAAAACAACAAAATTATCAGGCTGAAATATCAGACTTCTATTATAAAAGGCTCAATAATATGCATTAGATTAGTGTTTAGTTCCTTTTTTTCCCCATTTAATATTTATAGTTAAAATATTTTTAAATATTTACCCACATTTCAGTAACATTTTAGGTTTGTATTAATAACGCTCATCTTAGTCAAAATAACACATAAATATATCCAGTAAAATATAGTCTATTTCATTAACATGCATTTGTATTGGAAATGGTAATAACATTTAATTTCTGCTGCTAACAATGTAATGGTCAAGGCCGGATTAACCATATGGGCAACTGGTCAATTGCCTAGGGCCCACGAACTCTTGAGGGCCCAGGGCAGCAAGGGCACGAGCAAAGTACTGTATCTGTAATCTCCCGCTTTATATGAAACTAGGGTGACCGTACGTCCTGTTTTCCCCGGACATGTCCACTTTTCACTCTGTCCGGGGCGTCCGGACTGGGGGTTCTTGACGTCCGACACTATTGACATCCTGATTTCCCCCAGGCTCTTCCATATCAGCAGGGCTGTACAGTGCGATGGGAAAAAACTGTCTCTGTGTGTCTGTCTATTTTTAAACATAGCACTGGTGCAACATCTTTGAATTACCAATTTCCTCAGAACTTTATTGAACAAAAGTAAGTTACGTGTAAGAAAAATGCTTTTTTCTGGCGCACAGCGTGGTCATCTGGATGCAGTGGAGGAAAATAAAGGAACCAGCAAAGGCAGAACCGGTCCAAAGTTTGGGATCAAAGTGCACCTACACGCTGATTGGCTAATGCTAAAGCTAACGGGTAGCAGTCTCATGATCAAGTGGCGCACAGAAAAATATTTGATGATCGTAAAACCAAGAAACACTAAACTCTACAAGCGAATGAAAAGTCCCCACCATCCTGTTTATTCTGCATCCTGCAGCGCTACGGATCAGAACCGCTGCAGATACGAGTCATTACTGCTGGCGCAGGATTCATGGCAAGCCCTTGTAGTATATAATTCCCAAACGCATCTGTCTTGGAACATAATTTGAACTAGATTATTGCCAACCCGTACATAATAGACATGCCACCATTACATTGTTAGCAGCAGAAATTAAATGTTATTACCATTTCCAATACAAATGCGTGCTAATGAAATGCATTATATTTTACTGGATATATTTGTGTTTTTTTGACTAAGATGAGTTTTATTAATACTAACCTAAAATGTTACTGACATGTAGGTCAAACATTAAAAAATATTTTTAACTATAAATATCAGATGGGTAAAAGGGAACTTAACACCAATCTAATGCATATTATTGAGCCTTTTATAATATTTTGCCTTTAAAAAGTATGCATGTGCTGGTGCATGGTCAGGTTGGTACCACCTCCGCCTCAATTTGAGCCAGGAAAAACCCTGGAGATACTATGTAAATCCGGTATTGCACTAGTATTGAACACATACTGAATATTGCATTGATGTTATTGTGTAACAGGATAATTCCAGTACAGCTTAAACTGGCGAGTTGTACACTTACTGCAGAGGGGATGAATGATCTACTGTCGCATTCTGTTGTACATCTGTTATGTCTCAGTCTGCCTCTGAAGGAGCTGGTCTCTACATTTGAATGCTACTGGTGGGAGTTTTTTTTTAAATGGAGGTCAACTCCCCCCTGCATCCTCCTGTCACACATCTCCTCAACTGAATCCGGTGGGCAGCCCTGAACCGAGCTAGCTTTGTTAACTAACTTGTTCAGTCTCTTCCTGTCTTAGTCAGAGCTGCCTGCACCCCAGCAGACCATGGCAGAGTAAATAACAGTCAACAACAGAGTGATAAAAGGATTTTAGCAGATGGGAATAAACTCCAAAGGACCTCAGCCTCCTCAGGAGCTGGAGGCGGCTTTAGCCCTTTTCATACAGCGCATCTGTGTTGTTGGACCAGTTCAGTTTGCGAGTGAGGAACTTAAAGGTATTCACAACCTCAATGTCTGCTTTCTGGATATTTATGAAATCAGATAAAAGTCAGCTCAGAGTCAAAGATGACACCCAGGGTACTTCACATGGAGAGAAGGATTCGAATACATTGATTGTAGTTTTGGTAAATGTGTCTTTCTCTGAGCCTCAGGACCGATGACAACAATTTCAGTTTTGTCCTGGTTGAGCTGGAGAAAGTTTTCTGCCATCCAGGATTCAATGTCTAAAATACAGCTAAAAAGTGTTACAGGGGAATTTTCCTCTCTACTGTCGCTCCATGCTTGTTTAGTATGGAGATTGCTGTAAAGTCACAGACACAAAAAGTCAGTGACTCAGTGCAGTCTGCTTGGTTTCCTTACATAGGAACTTTTAACTGGAATCATGAGCTGAACTCAGCGCCCTGATAAACAGGTTCAGTTGAAATATTTGCTTAGTAAAGTGCTTTGAGACTAATGCAATTGGCTCCATATAAATAAACTGAATTGAATGCACCTGAATGTTTCTTTTCTGTCCCTCTTAGTGCTTCGCAAATTGACAGTTCATGGATTTCAAGAGCCACAACAAAATATGGAAGTAATGGTGAGCTCCATCTTACTGTGTTGGCTTTATAACCTCTTTTTTCCCTCATAGCTGATACTTTTCTGCTGGTGTTTTGGGTTAAAAATAACTCCAGTCACACCGTGCAAAATGTGGATGGCTACGATGATTGAAAGTGCCTTAAGCCGTGTTTTGGTTCAAAGAGTCAAAGTTCTGTTTGAGCTCTTCTCCCCCCTCTTAAGAGTGAAGAAAGTTCCACTCTATTAAACTGTTATTTCACTTTAGTTTAAATCGGGTTTAAAATAATCTTCAGCATGTGCTTTGGTTTCCGCCAAGCGGAGAAATTGATGAAATAATTTTTTTTTATAAAATGCCCCGGTCCTTTCAACTGCTACTCCAGATTCTGCCTTTTTTCTGTTTAGTGGAAATATTATATTGACTTTTTAGAGTGATTATTTACGGTAATTATTTTTGGTAGGTGAGTGCATTCAATTTATTTACAGTAAACGTACACATAAGAGAATTTAGAGGGCTGGGATCCTGTTTCCCCCAGCGAGAGCAGCCATCTGGAGCTCATCTACTGTACGAAGTCACAGGTGGGAGGGAGATCTTGGGAGAAGCAAAGAGTCCGTTGACTCCTACAGTTGATGACCTCGCCAGGCTGAAGTCCACCAAGTGGATGCAGGAACCAAATCTTACCACAGGATGTCATTTTTACTTCATTTCTTCAAAAACCACCTTTAACTATTTAATCTGACTAAATAAATTGGTCAGTTGATTCATCTACTTTTAATTTTGATAAAGGTGAGAGAAAACATCCTATTCTGAAAACGAATCACCATATTTGCAGTAGAATGAAGTTTATTTTCTTCCCCCTGTGATGTACTTTGGAAGACTATTTATGTGCACATTATTGATTTTTGTGTGCGGCTTGTTCAAACTCACGTCCCTGAAACGACGAGCAGCGCAGCCATCTGTGTTTTATTGGCATCCTTTTTGAGCTCTGCTTGTTGTGTCACAGCCCTGTGGCGGTAGTTTATGACGTTCATCGTTGGCTCTCCAGCATAGGATTGTTTTGCTAGGAATCTCTTCACACATGACATGATCATTTTGGACAGTTGAGATCTGTTTTCCAGTCATCACAGCAACAATGTCGCTGGAGAGCTCCAGCAGGAAAGAAAATACTGACTCTGGGAAAGATGAAGTTTGCCAGTATGCACACATGGTGCCACAACATGAAATATTTAATACTTATTCTGCATAATGAATTTATTTTCCGCTGTATCAGATCATATCTAATAAGCACTGCCGGAGTGTGGGTGAAATGAATAAGATCTTGTTCATTAGGTGTAAAAAGTCACTTTTGGCTCGGTTTTTAGACAACTAACATATTATTATGACGATGTATGCTGAGTTTATTTTCTGCCTCTGATTTCTTTTACTCTTTTTGAACTTTTGCAACATTTGTAATCACCAATTTCTTTTTCCCCTGACATTGCCACTGGCCCAATCTCTAACCTTTGCTGTCATAGCCTATTCCAGTTTTCCTTTTGTGATGGCATCCCCATTCCCTCTGCCTCTTATTAAAGTCCCACAAGTATCTTAACAAATGTCTGCCTTGAGCCGTGTTCTCCGTCATCTGCCACCCACTCATTTATGCTTTACTTGCGACCCTTCCCCCTCCGCACTAACGCTGTTAGGAACTTGACTTGGTGGCAGAAATGTGTTTTTCGGGACGTGTGATTAATGACGCTGCTGTTGACCTCATGGCTGAACATTAACGCCGAATTAAACAGATAGCACCTCCATCTATCATCTAATTTCTCATGCTAAGCTGTTACTACAGCAGGCTACAGAAAATTGATTCTCTACCGTACTGTGTAGCTCGGCACTTTTATCTATACTCATAAGTACAAAAGCAAATCTGCCCACGCACACATACATACGGCTTGTCTGCGAGCATATCTTCCCCTCTGCAGTTCTTGTGAGGCAATCACGAGTAATTCAAAAGATTAGACTGATCACACCCTCTCTTCCTTTCTTGCTTTTCAGGGTTTCTTGAATGCCGTGTTTGAAAGGCTAAAACAGTTCCTGGAATGCTGTGAGTACTTGTCTCCTTCTCTATCTGAAACTTTGATCCTCAGCTTTCCCTGCCTGCAAACAAACGCGTCAGTTTCGGTTGTGGATGGGGAAGGTACTTCTAAGGTACTTTGACACCCAGAGTCGGGTCGGGGTTAAAACAGCTCTGCATAATGATGGCATCAAATTAAAAGTTGAAACGGTTATTCTTGTGGGGGTGATTTTATTTATTTATTCATTTTTCCAAAGTTAACATAAGCCCTTTAACTTCACTTTGAATTAGCCAGAGTAATTTCAAAAGCATGAACAAGGAATAAAAGTTTTGTCCTCGTCACTGAAGCTTTTTTATTCCCAGAAAAATGTTTGAGCACACATAAAGCATTTTAAATTTTTTGATTACACTCAACATTAGATTTTAAAGGGATCATAGAATTTAAAATTATGTTTAAAGTAACACACACCCATTTCCAGCTTCATCGTCCTACTGTGGGAAATGGAATTACAGCTGTCGTGAACAACCCAGCAGCAATCCAGTGGCACCCCCAGAAAAGTTTCTTAGGGGTGCTCATGGGGCCAGAGAAAATTTTGGGGTGGCACACCAAATGAAGCCTTGTGGTAAATGTGGGAAACTTTAGCCTGTAGTGATGCAATAAAAGCTCTTTTATTAGTTTTCATGTAAAACATTTATATGACTTATTGAAGAACACTGGTCTTCCCTGTGTGTGGATAGTGGGGTGGCTAGAAATTTTCTTGGTGTCCCTTGGGAGCACCACTGCAGTAGCCTGCTGTAGATAGTGCTAACAATGAGCTAACACTAGCATAAGCCAAGTCTTACTAAATAAGCCACAAATTAAAAATATCCACACTGCTGGACAAAAAATACAAGTTCAGTAGCAAATCCACGCGGCTCTGCAATATTGCGTGGACATCGGGGACAGTCCCACTGGACTGGCAGACCGGGGTTGTGGTTCCCCTATTTAAAAAGGGTCCTGTGGGGGGTACTCTGGGAGTACTGGGCACCAGGCCCTCTGATACGGGCTGTTAGGTCCCTGTATGACCGGTGTCAGAGCTTGGTCCGCATTGCCGGCAGTAAGTCAGGCTCGTTCCCAGTGAGAGTTGGACTCCGCCAAGGCTGCCCCTTGTCACCGATTCTGTTCATAACCTTTATGGACAGGATTTCTCGGCACAGCCAAGGTGTTGAGAGGGTCTGTTTTGGTGACCTGAGGATCAGGTCTCTGCTTTTGGCCGATGATGTGGTCCTGTTGGCTTCATCAGAAAGTGATCTTCAGCTTTCGCTGGAGCGGTTTGCAGCCGAATGTGAAGCAGCTGGGATGAGAATCAGCTCCTCTAAATCTGAGACCATGGTCTAGATTCGGAAAAGGGTAGAATACCTTCTCCGGGTCAGGGATGAGGTCCTGCCCCAAGTGGAGGAGTTTAAGTGTCTCGGGGTCTTGTTCACGAGTGAGGGAAAACTGGTGCGTGAGATCGATAGGTGGATTGGTGCTGCATCTGCAGTGATGCGGGCGTTGTACCGGTCTGTCGTGAAAAGAGAGCTGAGTCAGAAGGTGAAGCTCTTGATTTACTGGTCGATCTACATTCCTACCCTCACCTGTGGTCATGAGCTTTGGGTAGTGACCGAAAGAACGAGATTGCGGATACAAGTGGCCGAAATGAGTTTTCTCTGCAGAGTGTCTGGGCTCTCCCGTAGAGATAGGGTGAGAAGCTCGGTCATTTGGGAGGGGCTCAGAGTAGACCTGCTGCTCCTCCACATCGAGAGGAGCCAGTTGAGATGGCTCGGACATCTGGTCAGGTTGCCTCCTGGATGCCTCCCTGATGAGGTTTTCTGGGCACGTCCAACCGGGAGGAGGTCTAAAGGAGTTATCTGGATACTGTACACAGCTGCACACAGGGCTACTAACTTCAGGCAGCATCACAGCCCTGTCTGGGTAAACCAGTCAATGAGCATGCAGCTCATTTAATATTCATACTATGGACAAGTGGGTGGGGCAAACCAGTCTTTCTTTTGTAGGGCTTCGTTACGGGATTGTGCGTGCCATATGTCAGAGCTCCTAAGCCATTGTAAGCCCCAACAAAATTTCATAGAGGCTCAAAGATTAGCTTGAGTCGCCTGTAAAAAGAAAAAAGTTCTAGCACCTCTTTATATGTAAATACACTCGCTAAAACTAGGTGATTGCATGCTTTCCACTAGTTGTTTGTTTCGCCACTATGCTTTGAGCTCCAGCAGGTTTGCATTATAATACTTCTCCTAAACCATGTGAAAAGCCTTACTCTGAGATAATTCTGCTACATTTCAGCATTATTTTAAGTGGAGAAACAGACTGAGATGTGGCTGCCCGTCGTCTTGCAATGCAATAAAATTAACCAGTCTTATCTTTTCCCGAGGTTTTTCTTTCATGAGAACTTTTGAATTGCTTATAAACCACATAGTTAATATTTTTTTTAAATTATTTGATCAGTAGGAAATAGACTCGAGCTTAATATTACAAGCCCAAGACACTCAGGGTCAGTGGCCACATAAATGTGCTTCAATAAGTGTTCTTGTTCAGTGTTTCTTCTTGACTTCACTTAATCAACTCTCTCAAATGTGCCATTATACATTTCACTAATAAACAAGCTGCAATTGTTAATTAGCATAGTTGCCAAGAAAACAACCAAGATAAAAATTTGTTGACAATACCTTTGTCACGATGCATAAATTAAAATTTGGCTATTCTGCTGCTCAGTGGTTACAGCAGCAGTTGACTGGATTGAGCACAATAACAGTTCAGTTCAGTAAGTGCGTCTTTTATCTCACTATTTCTGTTGATGAAATCAGTTTATTACTGTGGCGCATTTAAAAACAGCATGGGAGCTGACTAAAGCACCCCCAAACAACAACATAAAAAACAGACTTATAAAAAAACAGATAAACCAATCAGTAAAAGCAGATAAAAACAGCAATCAAAGAACACAATCAAAAGTAAAAAGAACTTAAAACAGACTCACAATCTAAAAGCCAAATCATAGAAATGTTTCTTCAGTTGTGACTTGAAGGCACCGGTGAAGGATGACTGTCAAATAGTGATTGGCAGTGCATTCCAGAGAGTGGGGGCTATATACACAAATGCTTGCTCCCCTCTTGCCTTGTAGTTCATAGTGGGGGTGCAGAATAACAGGCGGTCATCTGACCGTAGCGAGCGCACAGGCACATAGGGCGTGAGTAGGTCAGACAAATAAAATGGTGCCAGACTGTTTAATGCGTTTTATGCAAGAAGCAGTATCTTAAATTGTGCCCTAAAAGCCACAGGTAGTCAATGGAGATCCGCCAAAACCGGGGTCACATGGCTACATCTGTGTTTAAGAATCTTGGGTAACACTTTATAATAACTACATCTTATTTAGCCTTAATTACACATGAACAAGCATCTAAGTAACTACTATCAAATAATTAATTAACAATGACTCTTACTTAATAAACAATTAACCAATGCATTAATTAATTCTTTGTTTTTATTAAGTAAGAGTCATTGTTAATTATTTGTTAGTAGTTACTAACATGTTTGTTCATGTGTAATTAAGGCTAAATAAGATGTAGTTATTATAAAGTGTTACCAAAAATGGGTTAATAAGAACTTGTTCATGGTTTGTTAAGTATAAATAAGCCATAAATAAACAGCTTTTACATGAAACTAGTCATTAGAAGTTAAGCATTAATTATTGTGTTAGTCAGGTACTTTGTTCATGGTTTGTTACATATGAATAAGAAATGAGTAAACAGCTTTTACAAGGGACTAATCATTAAAAACAAAGCATTAATTAATGCACTGGTTAATTGTTTATTAAGTAAGAGTCATTGTTAATTATTTGTTAGTAGTTACTTACATGTTTGTTCATGTGTAATTAAGGCTAAATAAGATGTAGTTATTATAAAGTGTTACCGAATCTTGCAGCTGCGTCTGCACAATCCGCAATCGGTTCAGGGCTGAAGCAGGGGTCCCGACTAGGAATGAGTTTGCATAGTCAAGACGAGAAGTGATAAAGGCATGTATCACAACGCGGCCATACTAAAATCGGCTTCAGGTACGTTAAATGATGCAGTTGAAAGAAACACGACCTCACAACCGCGTTTATCTGAGGGGCTATTGTAAATCCTGCATCTAAGATCTCCCCAAGGCTGGTAAAACACCTCTTGAGGTCCAAACCTGGAAGAGTCAGAACCACAGAGGTGTGAGACAGGTTTCTGGGGTCAAAAAGAATGGCCTCAGTCTTTAATTCCTTAAGTTTAAGGAAGTTAGCTGCCAACCGCCCCAATGATTTCTAAAACTTTAGCAATGATGAGGCACCATTTGAGCAAAAATTACTTACATTAACAATTTCAGCCAATTTTAGTTGTAAATGACAAAAGATATTCCATCCCAATTATAAAAATGTCTGGCTAATAAAAAAGAGCAGCACCAACATTTGTACAAATACAAGTATGTAGAGTTCAAAGAAAGTTTTTAAGAGTTTGACTAATACTGCTACCAAAGACTTGGTAAACCAATGCCTTCATCCAAATCTGACTGAGCAGTCTTGTTGGGGTAATGATACACCGTGGAAGTATTTATTTCTGGTTTTTAAACTATTAACAACGTCCAACATGTCAAACTGAGCTCATAATTTCCAGGATAATTGGAAAAGTTGCACCAGTAGAACAGACGGTTTTCTGCAGCTGGGAGAAAATAACTGTTGGTTTAGTTAATAGGTTCCTGGATCCTGTGCTTTTTGACAGGTTCTCTGTCCCCTTTGAATTATGAAGCTGATATTTAAATTGCGTCCTTTTTATTTGTCCAGACATGTTTGTCATAGCAACACCTCATAACCGAGATAACGACGACTCCTGCTTATGTAGAGAAATACAAAGATTTTTAGATGCGAGCCACAGCTATCGCTTCCAATACTCTCTTTGCTGATGGCAATGGAGATTGGTTCAGGGCCTTCTTGGTATTTGGACATGGCAGATGGAGGAAACGGCAGGAAAGCTCATAGCCAGGCCGGCAAGAAATATCAGCTGTGCTCCGTCTGATAAGGTCAGTCACATAAACGGGTGGCTTTAGACATTCTTTGGGGTCTACTCAGATGTCTAGCTCTTTCTGCTTCATGTTTGCCCTCCAACTTAGGTCATATGTCTACTTTTATGTCACCACATTGTTACAAGTGATTTAAGGAAGTGAAACGTGTGTCGGGATTAAAGCACACCTTGTATTTCCTTTGTCATCTGTTTCTGTCGTGGTTTGCTGGTTTGAATTTTTTGATGTATGGCTGCTGTGACTTTGATGATGCCGCACATTTTATTGATCCTAGCTGTCTCACACCTGAACACAAATAGAAACGGTTGTATGCACATATTCCCAATGAAGTCCAATAGGGTTTATGTAAAATTAGATTAGCATAATGCTGGATTTGCGCAACGAAATTCAAAAGGAGAAAACACGAATCAGTAGGTGAGATGGTTGTGTTGTCGCTTTGTGTTAGTTCCTGATTTAAGTGCATATCAAGCAAAAGGGAACTATAAAACTGCCTGTTTATGATGATTTGAGGAGTTCCACACGCTCTTATTGGCTCTTCTGATTTCATCAGGGCACTTTCATAGAAAAATAAAACACAACATAAGACATCTTTATTTGTTCTAGCAGCATACATGATTTTTTATAGAGTCAAGATTTATATTACAGCCTGTTTAATTAGGAATTCTACTTTAATATAAACACTGAGCCAACAGGACGATTCCACCGTAAGATGAGGTCAGTAAACAAGGCACCTTTTAGTAAATCAAAAGAAATCATTACCTTTTTGCTTTTCAATTATCTTCTCTCTCTTATTGCCTTTTTTCTAAGCTGCTGTCTGGAGGACACTAACTGCAGATTTAAACACAAGCGGCACTTGACTGCACTCTTGGTAGATAAATTCAGGATTTTTTGACTGCGAGTTACATTCTCATGTTAAATTCAAGAGATACTTTGCACTTTTTAAATATTTTTTAAATATTTTGTACCAGTATGTGCTAAAATGACCCGTTAAACGGTTAATGAAAGGCCACCCAGCCCCATCGCCCCCCTGTAGCCAGAATATTCCACTTGCAACTTCAGAGTGCCGGTCCAGTCTGTTGGGACTTGAGCTGACATACCTGGTGCCACAGTCTGCTTTCCTGCATGTTTTACATCATGAACACATCAGATTTTTTTAAATTTAGTGATGAATCACTCCTGTAGACACTATTGAAGGCTGGGAGACATTTCAGCTGTTAGACTAACCCCGGCTTTCCACGGGAGCCGTCAGCAGCACGTTACTGCAGCAGCACGTCATAGCTGCTGATAGGAACCGCTGTGGTCAACAGAACCTTTTCCACTGGAGCCGTCAGCAGCCGTCAGCAGCGCGAGTCGGCCGCATCTCAGGAGCAGCATGTCGCGGCCTTTACGCGCCGGTTCTGTTTTCTACGCGCGACGCCTCTGAAACTGGTCAAGTTCAACATTTTTGGGGAAGGAAAGACAGGAAATCAGACGCGGAAATGGAGAGAATCTACCGAGATTTTCAGAATAAAGAACGTACTGCCTTCCGGTTGCTTTACTTTTAAAAAAGGTTACTAACTGTGCGTCCCCGTGAGAAGTTATCATCTAGCTAGCAGTCTCCTTTGTTTTTCAGGGCCATATTGGCGATTATAAAACGGACAGAACATAAAACACAAACCATGTTGTAATTTTCTCCTGCTTGTTGTTGTGTTTACTGACGAAGTCACTCGTGTGACTTCGTGCTCGGTCGGTGACAGCTGCTCCCCTGCTGCTTCGCGTCTCGTGGGAAGGGCCAAGCAGCAGCTTACGCGAGCAAGACGTGCTGCTGCAGTAACGTGCTGCTGACGGCTCCCGTGGAAAGCTGGGGTAATGTGTTAAAAAGATGAATGCACAGCGAGGAGGTACGTTTTGCTTCCCATTCTACAAATGGTCACTAGGGGGTGATAAAAGCAAGCCAAACTGCATAGTTCCCCTTAAATGTTGCTAACTCTTTTTTGCTTTGAAATGCTTTGAAAGGTCAGTTGTTTCAAGACATTTCAAAAAATGGTTTAAAATGTGTAACTAAAGTGGTTTATTTTTGAATAACACACATTTTTACATCTCAGGAAGTATAATTTGGTTTCAGATGTGCTGCCTTTGAAGAATAATTTTTCTTATGTTACAGGTCGACAGGTTGGGTCAGAGAGTGTATGCAGGGAAAAACTGGAAAAAACTATCATACTCTACACAAAAGTTGTGAGTTTATACATTTTAATAAATCATAAACGAGCTACATTTTGTCATGCTCTGCTATTTGTAGCCTGTAGCTCTTCTTTGATTTTGGTCTGCTTCTGTTTTCTTCCCTCACCTTTGTGCAGCTACTGGATTTCCTGGAGTACCATCCCTATGCATTCATACCCCTAATCCAGCGCTCTCTGGAGTTTGCTGTTAGCTACGTTTTCACACCTGCTGGAGAAGGAGTGACCTTTGAACGCTTCATCGTTCAGTGCATGAATCTTATCAAGATGATCGTAAAGAACGATGCCTATAAACCAGCCAAAAACATTGACGGTAAGGCATGAGAGCTGCAGGAGAGAACGCTTTAGGACAATTAAACAAAAGGAAGCAAAAACAAATGGTCAAAAGTAGCAATCAAAACTGGTTGGATGTGGCTCTGGTTTAGAAAATCAACAGTAGAATGCTATGACTTCTCAAAGCTGATCACTTGACATTTTTTTTGAAAGCACAACGCTGGAATACCATCAGCGTTATTGTTCCCCGCTAAAGCTTATGTTTGTTTCAAGCTGTCGAAGAAGCCTCCAGCAATTGAATTGTCAGTAGAGCACAACACTTTCCATTTGTTCCTTCAGTTGAAATGGCTTTTGATAGGCCTTACTGAAGATCTTCTCACTACATATTCATTGAAGCAAGATGGTGCTTGTGTGGGCGTGCCAGTTTTGTAACCCAGTTTCTTCAAATCTGGATTTAGTTCAGCCTCCCCATTAACTGGTCATTTGGCTGTTGATTTTCAAGGTGAGATTTGTTAATTATCCTGTCATTGGCTTAAATACCTGAAAGAAGGATCAGTTTAGAGTTCTGTTTTCTTCTATGCACAATGATAAAATTATGTACATTTGAAGATGTCAAGAAAATATCCAAAAATAGTCTTTTTCATTAAAGGGGCATTATGGAAGTTTGACAGCCAAAACATGTATAGAAATGATAAATGTCTTCTTCATACATTCTCCTGCAATGTCCTGGTCCTGTAGAATGAGCCCTGGCATTTTTACTGTGATTGCCTGTTTTTCTGTAAAATCACAGAAAAAGAGAGATGCTCGGGTCGAGCAGGCTGCTTCATGCGCGTTCACGCTCAGGCATAGCCCGTAGCATTTGCTATCCGTAGCTTTAGCAGCAGAGAGAGAGGCAGTGCCACTTTGTCGCTGTTCCTAACGCCTAGTGACAAAGCTAGCTACATTTCTGAGGACCCTTAGCAACTTTCTGTAGAACTTTCTTCTAGATATTTCCTGCAAATTAGCAACAAAATAGCCATTTTTGCTCCGATCTGTTCTTTGAACGTTGTTTCAGCTGTCATCAAGGATATAAAAGTTACAGATACAAAAGACGTCACTGGCGCTGTAGCTCACTTAGTAAGACGTCGGACTCTCGTGCAGAAGACCCGGGTTCGATTCTGGATGTGATCCTAGTATATTTAGAGTTTCTTTTTTATGTTAGTGGTATATTTTTTTACAGTAAGATGCCCAAACACGCACGCACGCACGCACGCACGCACACACACACACACACACACACACACACACACACACACACACACACACACACACAGGACTGTCTCAGCTTTTATTTTCGTTAAGGAGTGTGCACGTACAGCATGCGCGCCTCGTGCACCAGCCTGCTATTGAAGCTGCCGTTACACTTTTGGCCTGAGGGGGCAATCGCGAGCATAAAAATTCAACACTCTGTAAAGTCCCTTTAAAAAGGAGTTGATTACTTGTTTAATCAATACATTTGCAGTGGTTTCCATTAGGAATGAATCCCTTGCAGGCAGTACCCAGGGCACAAAAAAGCCCACAAACCCCTGCCTCAGCAGGGCCAAGTCTGGGACATCACAGCTGAGCTTCATACGACAGGCTTTGAAGTCATATTTCCTGATATTCGAACATCTCTGATTGGATAGCAGCGACGCGACTCTACCACTTACTTATAATGTTGATGTTTTATCTCCCCAAATAACACAAGCCTGGAGGAGCTTCTGCTGTGTGTTGGTGTTGCTAATGCTAACAGTTGGCTTAAGCTTGGTTTATGCTTGACACATTCACTTTTCGCGCGGTGATGCGGCTCGCGGCTGGAACGCGCTTCACAACTCGCAGTGTTTATGCTTCATGCGGCTCGTCTCTGCGGTGAGCCAATATTCTCCCAAACTGAACGGGGCAGCGTGGAGCTCTACGGCATGCATCCAACACTACACCATAGTAGAAGTATAAATTACTGTTTACAACATGGCATTTCAGCATTTTTAACAGCGTTCTCGTCTTTTCCGACAGTGCGAGCTATTTCTCTCCCAGAATTATTAACAAAATGTTGATCACGGTGATCTTTGAGAGCTGAATCATACAAATGCCTGTATTTACGAACCTCTGCCGTACTAGTTCTTGCCGGTCCGCCATGTTTTTCCGCGTCCGTCCGTCCGCGTGGTTAGAAATTTTCCGAGGTGCGCGTTGCGGAAATTCTGGGCCGTGCGGAGGGGCATGGTTGTTAAAATGACGCTACTGTTCCGCGCGGAGCCGTGCGGACCTCGCGGACGCGTCAAGCATAAACCAAGCTTAAAACTAGCAGAGACGTTCGCTGCTGATTTCCGGACGTTAAAACAACAACAGACTTTCTCGTTGCAAATCTAGATGTGTGAGTCCATAAATGCTAATTCCCAGTGTGACGTAGATCCGTCTGGCTTTTCAAGTCTTAGAGTTTCACCGTCTATTTCTTATCAGAAGCTAATGCAGGAAATAGGTGTAGGAGACTATTTTCATGTTCAGCCTGTATGAAAAATCAGAGTGACCAATATTAAAAATGTTTTTTCAGTCAAACAAACCGTTACAATAACCATAAGAAAGAATAAATTCCTGATAATGCTATAAATGTATCTCATAATTAATGGTGATTTACTTTCACTGTCACTCCTCTCACTCCTTAGACAGCAAACCAGAGAGTCTAGAAGCTCACAAGATCAAGACGGCCTTCTTCACTCACCCCACGCTGACGGAGATTGGGCGCCGGCTTGTCTCGCACTACTTCCTTCTCACAGAGGAAGAGCTGACGATGTGGGAGGAGGACCCTGAGAGCTTTGGTGACTACTCACATCCTAAAGCATGAACTATGTCCACATATCTTGAGCTATGGTTGGAGAGTTAAGTGTGTGTGTTTGTGTGGGGGGTGTTCTGCAACACTATGTCTTACATGTGATGTTGTATAGAATATTTCACGTGTTTTAATGGGCTGGTGTTCAAAGAGACAGGGCTGCTAAATATTTAAAGAGAAGGCATAGGAAGATCTTAAAATCTGACACACTGGTGCAGCCAACTCCCCACTTATAATTATCATGGCCTCGATGTCTGAAATCTACACGGCAGAGCATTCAATTATGATTTTTATACTTTTGAACCTGTGGTTAGACGCCTTATTTATTCAATTAGTCTGCATTTTATAGCACTGATGTGGATTGTTTTTTTTAAAAAGTGTGTAATGAGTCAGCCTGCTGAAGGAAACAAGGTTGGTTATGGCTTTGGGAACGGCTTTGATCATGTTAACAGGTTTTCTGTTTCCTGCGAAACCCAAAAAGCCTTGTTTCATTGGGCTAAATGAGTTTATAGTACAGCAGAAGTGAAGAAGTAGAACAGTACTTCTGCTGTTACACTTAAAAGTTTTAAACTTGTAAACAGTTCATCGTTTTTGTTTTAGCTGTTGAAGAAGCTGGCGGTGACTCTTGGAAGTACAGTCTACGGGTAAGTGTAAACATGAAGTCTGTACTAGAGGTCGACCAATAAGAGTTTTTTAATCGCAGATGTGTGCTGATGATTTTCACTCCTGATATCTACATTTTTGCTCATTTTAAATATATTTTTAAACATTTTCTAAATGCTTTTTTATATTTTAACATTTTTTGTTTTTGTTAAGCGCCTTGTGATTTTTATCTTGAGAGGCGCTATAGAAATGATACTTTCTTCTTCTTCTTCTTCTTCTACATTTTTTACCTCATCTGAATGCTACAGTTTCACTAATAACAGTGGATGCCCAGCATTTTTGAACCGGAATCAGTTTTTAAACGCTGAATTTAATTCACTCTCGAATCGTAATTTTATGCATTGCTCAGTTTTAAAATCACAAATTTAACCAATTTTAAAGGATCAAACAAATCAATAAACTAAGCATTAAATATACAAAACAAGTAAATGAAAAGAAACGTCAGTTGACTGTAATGTTTTAGAACAAAAAGATGTTTTTCAGACAAGCAAAAATAAATTTGAATAAATAAACTTTAGAGTTGAAATGAAAACAATTCAAAAATAGGATATATCACAACTAAATACAAGGAAACGCAATAGCACACAGCTAAAACACACCAGCAATATCCAAAGTACACTTTTTGCTTTAAAATCTTCATATAAACTGTAATTGAAAACATTTTGTGCATCTGACTTAGCAGCAGCATCACAGCAACAAACCCGTCATTTCTGAGGCTGGATATTGAAACTTTCTATCTGGACATCCACAGATGTGCCTGACTATAAATTGGCTCCACTTAAAGGTGTGGAACACTGAAAAAAACATTTAAAAAATCTTATTTCCGATTATTTTCATTCACTCTGAGTTTTTCATGTAGACTGAATATGAAAATAGTCTCCGACAGGGGCGGCGTTAGGCCCGGCTACTTGGGTTCAAGCCCCGAATGTTTTATGAAAAGCCCCGGATCTCAAACATAGAAGTAACATGCAGTACCAAAGTCCAACAGAGAGGGAGCAGCTGGCAGTAGTTTGTATACAGCCTGCCTGAGCCTCCACCACTGAAGAAGAAGCCCTTCAGCAGCCGGCTTCTTCTACACTCTGCCTGAAACGCATGTGTGAAGATGGACATAAGGACGTTTTTTAGACCAAAAGTAGCGTGACAGAACCCCAACTTTGATGAGACTGGTGTTGACTCAGGTTTGTGAGTCTTATTTCAAAATATTTGTTGTGCTGCAGGTTTGCCTAAAGTTAGCTTACTATCAGGTAAAGTTGTTGGAGAAAGAACGCGGGAATATTTACTATCATCTCACACTAAACACTAACAGGAACAACATTATGCCCTGAATATGCTTAATATGTAGCTTCAGATTAAAAATTATGTGGTACAAGACATATATATATGATGTTGACTAGTGTGTGTCACGTGTGTGTGTGTGTGCGCACGCGTGTGTGTGTTAAGCCCCGGATCTTCTTCAGTCCTAAATCCGCCCCTGGTCTCTGACACCTATCTCCTGCATTAGCTTTTGATAGAAAATAGACGGTGAAATTCTAGGATTACACAATCCTGACAGATCTACGTCACACTGTCACCTAACGTTCATAGACTTGCCCATCTTGACTCACGACAGGGACTGCCGTTGGTGTTTTAACAGCCAGTAATCAGCAGTGGACGTTTCAGCTAGTTGAAGCTAACTGTTAGCATTAGCTACTTTACCACATGGCAGAACTCCTCCAGGCTTTGCTTTGTGGAGAGACGACATCCACATAGCAAGTCATTAGTAGAGTCGCATTGCTGCTATCCAATCAGAGGCAAGATGTCCAAACATCAGGAAATAAGACTCCAAAACCCGCCGTTTAAAGCGCAGCTGTGATGTGGCTTATTCTAGCTCCTGGAAATGGTTCACAAGTGTTTTTTAAAAACAAATGTTCCACACGTTTAAGAAGAAAATTGGCTGATACCGATATATTAAAGAAAAAGATTGGTCGGCTGATGTTGATCCTCTTTTGTCCGCATCATACATTTATCTCTAAGGGCATTTCTGATGTAACCCCAAGTCTTGTTAGAGAGACTGATTAAATGTGGTTTTTAAAAGGATACATGCGTTTCAAGCTCCGATCAAATCACATTTTCAATGTAGAAAACCTTCATGAGTTTGAATGACGTGAGTGTTTTTAGCCAATGTTTATGCTAAAGCATCCTGGAACAGTTTGTGGTCCCTGGAGCTTCATAGCTTCTGTCTGTGACTGGGTCTCGTTAGTTGGCGGGGGTTTATAATTAGCTGCTGCTGATGATATAATCACTCATCCCTGGTAATATTTATTTTTCAGCCTACTTATTATTTCTCATCTTTTCCTTTCCTCTGTTTTCGTCCCACTCATCTTACAAAAATCTTTTCAGATGAGAAACATCTCCAACATTAAAATGAAAGGATTCTTTGATTTAAATCTGCACACAGTGAAGTATAAATGGAGTGGTTTATAATTTCAATTTACCTGCAGAAAAAAAATAGCCTTAGTCTTAGTTTCCACAGTCTTAAATATCTTATTAGGTACTTTTAGTTTTTTACTGATGGTTTATTCAGAAGGTTGGGCATTTTCTCAGTAGTGCACTTCCTTTTTTGACCTTTTTATTATCATTTTTCACACTAAGATTGGTTCATAGATCACCTGTCAGTGCCCCTGAATTTGTTATAAAGTCACCAATTAAACAGCTGATTATAGATGACCTTTCCCTATGAAAATCCCCACCAGTCCACGTAGATCAGAGCTTTTGTCTTCCTTCTGCTCTCATAAACCTGGAAGAGCTTTTCAGTATGAAACGATAACCTGATACTTTGGTGCACATATTGAATTTTCCAAAACCAGCACAGCCCATGTCAAATGTCTTAGACCTTTTTTTTTTTATTTATTATAATTTTTTTCCGTGTGACATTTAGAGCCAATAAACCAGTAAATGTGGCTGAGCCTTGTCTGGATTAAATAAAAGCGCTAAAATCCGAGATCCTCTAACGGATTAATATTGACTTTTTTGTTGTTATTATTGTAGAGCTCACTTTTATTGAAGAGAATTTATTTGTTTTTTCCCCACAAAATTATATTTTACTGCCCTTGTTGAGCTGATGCCTTTTTATTGATGCGATCGTATATCAACACTCGGTGGTAAAGGAAACCACAGGAAGCAGCAAAAGGTTTGTAGAGACTTGTGATATGGAAATAAATGTCTGTGTTTCTGTTTCATCCGCTTCATTTTTCTTTAGCCCTGCACGGAGGTTTTGTTCCTGGACATCTTCCACAACTACAGCCAGACCCTGACACCGGTTCTGCTGGACATGGTTCAGAACCTGCAGGGTCAGTGAACAATTAGTCATTAAAATAATTACATGTGTGTTTTTACACTTTTTATACAACAAAAAAACTGTATTTTCCTGTCAGATAATTTGTACCGCTTCCACATCTGGCCCGGCTCGGTCCGGGTCCCTCACTAGTGGGGTTTGTTCACACACACACTTTTCAGGAACGCAGAAATCTCCCAGCATGTGGGCGGGGCAACAGACGCACGGAAAAGTCCATGGGGTCTCCCTTAAATTAAACGAAGACTCTGATATTGCATCCAGACCGCCGGGTCTGTTCTTGTGCGGGGCAGCTTAAGCCTCGGCTGTGTATGTGTGTGCTCCTCACAACGCGCCTCAGTGAGAGAGACGGCTTCAGTCAGAGGAGATGTTTATTCCTCAGTGAAAATGAATCACACATAAGGGAAGCCCTGCTGACTGATTCTGTCTGCCAATTGGAGGCTTCCCCTAAGGCATGAATTTGAGCTGGCCAGTCAGTCGGCGGTGGGTGTGTTGGGTCAGTTCAAATCAAATCAATCAATATCAAAGATACTTTATTAATCCCAGAGGGAAATTAGAGTTTCAGTACACACAATTCAGAGATCAGACATACATGGGCAAGACACATGACAAGAATTGGTGACTGTGGTCATTCGCAACCCTGAGTCGCGCTACCTTAATAAAGATAAGAGGGTTACATGAGGATTGGTTCAGGTGGAGGGAAAAAATGCACTTCACAGCTACCCTCCCACCAGGAGGTCAGCTTTGCTTCTGTTCTGAATCAGTGGTGTCATTGCTCACATGGGTGAATCTCTGGGGTCTGCTTCTGCCCTTTTCTCTCAATCTGCTTTCGTTTTCAAGTGACAGAGTGGAAACTGGTTCTGCTGGAGTAAGGGAAAAAGCTAGGTTGAGTAATTCTGTGATTGAAAGAAAGCATCTATTGATTTAGGAAGGCAAAGTACAGAAGAAGGAGTAATGGAGGGGGAGAGGAAACATTGGTAAAATGACTTGGGAATGATTGATACTGACATTGTGGGGTCATGTCCTCTTGTGTTTAAAACTGTGATATAACATGAATGCTAGTTCTTTTTCACACATTCTCTGTAGTCTTTAGGCAATAGGAAGTTAGAAGCATCAAGCTCCTAACATAAAAATTTAGACTATATCGTTGCGGAAACTGCATCTAATTTACATTTGATTTTTGCAGGCCCAACTGATGTGGAGGATCGTGTTCAGTTGCTAATGAAGGACGCAGGTTAGTTCCTTATTTTCTAACATTTAAAGGGATTCTAGGATTCAAAACCACGTTTGCTTTGTTGAATTTAGCATACCAAAAAAGTCAGTCAGTGCCATCTCCAGCCTGCTTTCCTGTGCAAATTAGTAATGTTCTAATGGACACGGACAAACAGTTTAGTTTCAGCAAAGCTGTGATAACACCTCTTAAGTACAGACACACACCCTTAAATTTGCGTGAAATAATGCAAAACGAGTTTTCTCATAAAATGAATAAAGCTGATGGTATTTTTTAAAGAAATTACAAGCTAAATGTGATGAAAATACAAAATTCTAAGTTGTTAGAACCTAAGTGAAAACATGTAAAAACAGAAATGACGTTTCTTCCTGCTTTCTGATTCATTGAATCATTTTTATGGGTTTTTC